CGGGTGGGACACGTACGATTTTCTTCATGAAAGGAAGCTTCTAGTGACATCCATATCAAAGAGATTAGGTATGATAAATGTTAGAGGTCAAATACAAGATCAATTGACCTACTTTTATGACAGTGGAGTCATTGTAAGACGCACGATATACTGCTGACCCCAGGATCTATTTTAGGGGCAATAGTTATACCAAACGAAAGCTAGAAGTCGCCAGATTGATGTATTAAAATGCATGGAAGAAAGGATTATTTGCAAACGCATGAAATTTTATATGCATTTTCCTAATGCACTTCTGCACGGTGCATTTGATTGCAACGAAATTTCGAATGTGCCTTAATGATTTTCAAGTTTGTTTAGAATAGCTATGTATGTCTGACTAATACTAACTACAGGCTAAACATGTATATCGACTACTGTTATCACGTCGATAGAGATGTCTAACCTGCTGTTAGTGTTGACCAGACATTGAGTAACCGGCTTAAGAGTGGCTCGAGTTGAGTTATTGTTGGAAACTGATTTCATGGACAAATCATGCTCAAATTTAGCTATTCCTTAAAACCATAGAACGTCAGAAAAGATCTTGTGTATCGATGTCTAATCCGAAAAGTTATCTGCATTAAAATACTTGTAAGCAGGTACATATGTATATCTTTGTCACTTAAAGGCTATTTATTGGATTGAATTTATAAGTTTCGCGAACTTCTAGATTTTCTTGGTTGGAACTTTTCAGGTAATTGTTAATATTGACTTTTAATTGTTGTTAAGCAACCCTCATCATAGAATTCTCTGGCGCCTCTAAGATAGTAATGCTTATCTTGACTTTTCGAGCTGGCCACGCGAAATTTTTTACTACATCGCTTAGCCCACCAACAGTATTATGGTGTTTAGTCAACCTGTACTTCAGAGTTTTGTGGCATTAAACATAGGTTTGAAACGTTAAACTTATTTTTTTATTGTTAGGCATCATTAGAAAAAAATTATAAATGATTGTCACGGGCGGGACACGATAAAACGTTTCAAAATCTCTTAAGTAGGTACTTATAATATAATAAAAGAAATGAAATAGGGCTGCTTAGTATAAACACACTCTAGTTATGAAATTATAGAAAACTCCCTAAAGTAGTAACTAAGCAATACGAAGTTTAAAACTTTTTAGTCACGGGTTGGACATGCTAAACCGTAGTGATTTTATCCTATTATATAATTTAAATGCCTATTTTTCTTCAATGCCATATTGCTTCTTCGGGGCGCAGAAAGATCGAGACATTTATTCCCCCCTTCAAAAAAATAATAACTTTGTGAATACTTGATTTTGCAGAGCCTTCTATATTAAAATATGTTGTCGTATTCAACTACTTTTCTTATGTTGAAGTTTTGAGTGTATTTACAGTGTAATAAAATAATATAACTAAATTTTTTTTCGAAAAAACGTTAATTTCAGGTATTGAGCATTGATTCATCAAGCATTCCATGTTCAATAAGCTACTCTACAATTGGACACAAAGTTTCACTTACTCATGGAATACCCCATATGTAATAGGAGTGCGATATTTTGACAAATTTCGGCTACTGGTCTTTTGTTTATTTAACGTTTATTAATTTTGTATAAAAACTATACAACAAGCACCATTTAAATTCAGATTTCCAACTTCTTATTAAATTTTAAATTTTTAATCAGAATCTTTAGAAAAAATTGTGGTATGAAGTTTTGTTGCCCATTTAATTATAGTATAACAAAGCTCAAGTAATACTGTTTTTTGTTTTTTTTTTTGCTGTCAATTAACTGCACCTCCTGACAAACGCTTGCATTAATTTTTGGGCTCAATCATAAACACATATCTCAAGTAAAAACTTGATTCTAAACTCTCCCCAATTTTCTCATTGCAGGACAAAAATTCCGTCGTGGCATGACAGAATTCTCAACAAACAACGACATCAACAACAAATCACATCTATCACAACCGCTTCAAAATTCACCACGTCATTTCGCTCACTCTCAAACGAAACAATACCCTCATCAACAAAATCTTTCGCAACAACCACATCCTAATTCACCACAACATTACGCAAATAGTAACATAAATCAGCATTTTACTTACGCTTTCCAGCAAACGCATAATAACAGGCATAATCAGCAAACGCTTCCTTTAAATTCTTCTGCAAATACATTTACAACAACATCAAATATCAATAACATTACAAACAATTCATCATCACCCACATCTGCGGCTCAATCGCCATTGCATTATAAGAATCCATTGAATAGCCCGAATAATTCGCCATTCGCTTTCGCCTACAACAACTACGGCGAGCGTGAAACACAAAACGGCCGACAACACCAGCAACAACAGCAGCAGCAGCAACAGAAGAGGAGCAGCTCAACGGCTGCCACGGCTCAGCAACATCAATTGCAACAGCATTTGCGCAGCAGCAAGACGTTGCCGCTTCTAACGCAAACTCAATATCAGCAGCATTTGAATGATTTGCTGCTGCAGCAACAACACTTGCAAAAGCATCAGCAACAGCTGCTCAGCGCCAAGGACGCCGACGACGAACTGAGCGAGGAGAGTCTGAAGCAGAATGTTGCAATAGTACTGAACAATTTGGATCGGTACAATAACGCGTTGCGCAGCATCATACTGAATGAGCAAGTGAGTGGCCAGAGCAGCGTGCTCATTGACGACAGCCTGCTGGTGGAGAGTTTGGGTGCGAATAATAATTTCCTGTTGAATAGCGGCAATACAATGGCTGCGCCAGCAACACCCGAATCGGATTACAATAGCAATGCGACAACGCCTGGTTCGCGCCACAGCATGCCGCTCGATAGCAACATGTTGCAGCAGCATCAGCATTTGGTAGGTTTGGCCAACGCAGCGGCTGCGGCCACAGCAACGGCTTGTGGTGGTGGTATTGGTGGTGGGTTAGGTGTTAGTAATAATGTTAATGGTGGTGGTGGTGGTGGTGGCTACTTGGGCAACAATGTTGCCGGCAACAATTTAAACTATTCGATTGCTTCTTCACATGATTTCACTCACGATAATTCCGATTATCAGTGGCTACTAGACTGTGACTATCGGGATGGCTGCGGCAGTGGACTACAGCGCAGCATTTTCTCATCGCTAGCGGGCTCCTATAATGGCGACATAATTTTCTACAATGACTTCTCCAAAAAACTGGATGCTAACCTTGCCGAAGTAGATATGGAGAGCTTTCGTGCCGAGGACATACTACTCCATATGCCATCGTATTGCAAGAATATGAGCAATAGCAATCGTCTGCAACAATCGTTTCTCATGCAGCAAAATATGTTGCCTCTAACGGCACAGCAACAGGGTGGTGGTGGTGGTGGGGGTGGCGGCGATATAGGTGGAGGTGTTGGCGGCAGTGCCAATCATCTATCACAAACTTCGCTCATCTCCAACAATGAGCTTATCGATAATTCGATTTGCAAGTCAGAGTTGCTCTTCTCGCCGGTAAAAGAATCGCACTTATCGGCCGATTCGCTAGATATGGATGCGTATCCGGAGAATGAGGACATTATATTGACGTGCAAGGCGAACAAGGACAACTACACAATCGCTTTTGAGGGAAGCGTACTGTACTCTGATGACAGCTTCTATGGTGTGTATGAATGGGAATTTTGGCATTTTGTTAAATTCTTATTTCAAATTGCATTTCTATCTGATTTCAGCTGAACCCTCGGATATTGCCACAAGGAACAGACAGAATTTCATAAATTTGCATAGCAATCTTGAGGATATCGTTAAGCGCAAAGCTTTGGATGTCTCGATGTCGCGATCTGAGCAGGCCACAGCTGTGCGCGGCAAGCTGCAGAAGAGTAACACTACACAACTGCAAAGGTACGTAGTCTAAGTGGTTGAATTTAAGTTACGGTACTCTCTTTTCAGTTGTCAGTTTCAATTTTGATTTTAATATTTGACTATCATACGTTTACATTTGTTGTTTTGTAACAGCTTACTAAATCCCGAGTGAATAAGCGAATACACTTAAGGCTAGTTTTTCATGATCAGTGTATGTACACTTAGATCATTTAAACCACGTTCATATTTAGCAGCTGGCTGACATGTGATTGGCTAGTCTTAGTTTAAACCATCGTGGGTACGCATATTTCGAGAGTCGTGGTAAATGGCGACCGTCTCTCTCTGAATGCCGGTGATCACTCGTCGGTACATCGTCACATCCAAAGGTTTTTCGATGTAGGTTGGTAGCATGTCCATATATTCGAAGGAGACTTTCTGAAGTGTCACGTCGGTGGCTCTTCTTCGAGCAAGCGCCCATTTTGATGTTAACGTCTGTTGCATCCTACCAAAACCTGCTTGCTGAGCATTTTATTGTGCTCCCTTACAAGGAGCCTTCGCTGTGGAGATGGTCTTCAGGCGACATCAGAAGGCATCTTTGCTGTACGGAGTACGGCATTCTGACAAGTTTGCAGCTTCGTCCACTGCGCCCAACTAGTCCCCGGCGATCAAACAGGCGTAGCAAACTTCAGAACTGGCTGGCCATATATGCTTCTTAACTGGGAGCATTCGGCCCTCGCTGTGCAAGCGGTGCTCAGGCGAACCAAAAGGCATTCCGTCGAAGTGTATTATTTTGGCAGGTGTGTCGCTACGACCCCTGCGTCCGAGTAGTTCAGTTTCAAAGGTAATCTCTAAAATGCTCATTACTTACGTTTGGCAATGTAATGTCTTCGGCCCGTATGCCTAATTTCAGCTTGACCTCTTTCATCCAAGTGATAAAAGGTTTGCCGTTGATTTCGTGGCGGAAAGTTTAAGGTTATAGTAAGGAAGTGAGAAAGATGTCATTGTCTTGCCGGACGATGTTAACGTGGTCGTGTTGTGCTTTGTCTGTTGGTGGTTTTCGTTTATATCATCGTCGGAGGCGGCGATAGATCTGTATCAGGGGAGCCTAAAGAGTGATGCTCAGGGCAAAACATATTCGGAAGTGGCACCAGCCAAGGAAAAAGTCTCATTTGACTGATGTCATGTTTCAATATATTCTGCTCTAAGCGCTGAGCATACTTCGTGAAAGCGAAGAGACGCCGGTCAGCCTTCTCACTGGAGTTAAAGCGGGATGTAGATGGGGGAGTTGAATTGTTGCTCAGGTGAACTCAGAAAAGCCTAGCGGGTTCTTGTGTGCTTCATGGAGGCCGAGACCTGAAACCTGAGTCATTACAGTGCCTAGAACCGGCTGCCATGAGAATGTTGCATAGATATTTGAAAAAGTTTCATGGAAAAGTTTTGCAAATAAAAACTGCACTTTGCCGTTTTATGCGGTATACACATACATACATATAAACATATACATATGCAAGACAATCAATAATGAATATGTTGTTCAAAATTTCCGTTCCACACGCGATAACGAACCAAATGGAAATTGTAGGCACTCAGTAGACCTCAGAACTCAGCGCGGTAAATTGTGTAATATTTGTACGCTCACAGAGACACACGAGAATATGTAATATTATTAAAGTAAGGAAGAGTGTAGAATGTAAGTGCTGACGCTGTCAGCAGTTCGGAGGGTTGATTGCTCGAGCGGATGGTTGGTGGGGTCAATTCAATTGAGTTCAATTTAAATTCATTATTACTCATACGGATTATATGCACCGACTTACGTATGTTGAACCGTATGAATGAAACAGAGAATTAAGGCTTGTGGAACGTATGTATGTACTCGATTTATAAATTAATTTTGCAATGATAGGGAAAGCAGCTAAAACGAGAAAAATATTTACGCAAATTTGCTGAAAAGGTGTAGTAGTAGATTATTAAATTGTACGCCAAAGCTTAGCAAAACCTTTTTGCTAATTTAGTCCAAACGCAAAAGTACAATCTTCGCTTTAGTTAAGTCATTCGCTTCTTATCGCTTTCGATGACTAATTCTGTTTACTTATTTACAGATACCCTTCGGGCAATAACAACACCGCCGCTAACAACATCATTGTGGCACATATACAACACGCACCGAACTGCTTGGTGCGTAAAAGTCGCAGCCTTCCAAATCTGCGCGAGCACAAAGATCCAACCGCAATGGCTTGCAGTAGCATTGAGGATACACAACAGCAACAGCAACAGCAACATATACAACAACAGCAGCTGAATGTTTCACAGGCGGTTAGTACGTCCAATATGGAGTGCTGCAAGACGTCACGTAATTTGCTTCCCATGTGCCAGATGCCAATCTCTTCTAATTCCATAATTGCCTCCATTACGTCGGAGCGCCTAAATACGGTAGAACAATTGCAGCAGCAACATCACCAACATCAGCAACTGCAGCAGCAGTTACAGCAACAACATCAGGTTGGCGCCCAGCAGCGTCACAAGCACCGCTGCTCTTGTATGCCATCAAATGCCACCACCGTCGCCGTTGCCGCTGCCGCTGCCGCCACAAATAGTCACAATTGCGCTGCAGCGCAAAAGCATGCACCTATTTCGGGTTCTGCTTCGTCGGGCAGCTCGAATCCTCCCGCCTTCAATCTAGTCAAACTATTCATCAAGCAAAAGAGCAATAACTCCGCCACAGATGATCAGCTGATCAGCACCCATACCTGCATGGATGTGTCGTCCGGCTGTTGGCCGTCGAGCGATGCGGCCGGTTCGAGTAGTAGCTCGTCGCTGGAGCAGCGGCTGCGGAAGAAGAGCATGAACGATTCGGGCAAGGGGTCGGCACTGAGCAGGCACGACGAGGATGAGGAGCAGCTGTGCGCGCAAGTGCGCGGCACATGCGAAACGGCATTCCATACAGATCAGCATCACATCCCCGCCGGCCATCCCACACCAACACGTCGTCATTTGCGTATACGCAACGATGCCGTTTTCTACGATGAGGATCCAAGCTCTAGCTCAAGCGGTTCGTTAACGGCGACCAACTCGCCTGCGCACCGACGTCGCAGCATGCCACTGCGTCATCCCCAATTGTGCCAATTGGCGACACAACACAAGGACGTCGGCACGGCATGCAGTCTGCAGTCGTCCGAAGGTAGTCGCAGCAATTCGGAGCAACTTACGCAAGTATATGTGTCGACTGGCACCTCGTCTGCTACGCTGGAGCGGCAACGGTCGCGTTGTGAGGGCGCACAACCCACAGTGTCAGCAGCCTCAAGTTCGGAGCTGATCTCGCGCTCCATGCAAACTTCGTGCGGCTCAGCAAGTACGCGCAGCAGCTTGAGCGATCGCTTCCGATTTGTGCCGCCATCCTTCTTGGCGAAGCTCAACAATCTGGGCGAGGAGCAACAGGCGCCAATCTATGTCATATATCCAAATTATGCGTTGCCTGATTTGGGTTTCGTGCAGACCAATTCAACGGCCGATGTCATTTTCTCGCCATTCAACTACAAAATGGCTGTTGGTGAAAATGATGGCTCGAATTCGATGTCGTCTCTTAAGAAACGCTTTAGCCTGAATAGCAACGATGACGAGATACTCAAAGCCATGGACTACAAACACGTAGTGGATTGGCAATCGTTAGCGACACTCTTGCCGACTGATTATCGGCGACGTTTGAAACACATTCCCGAGGTGAATAGCTTGCTGCCCGACTTGGACGCTGAGCTATCACAGCGTCCGCTATTTTGCATGACTCCTCCCATACGACGCAATCGACCACACATCTGTGACTGCGCGCATTACTTCCAACAACAACGGCAGCAGCAACAACAGCAGACTCAGCTGCCCACCGGAGAAGAGGGTTCGTCGAGCTCTGCCTCTAGTCAACAACCCAGTTCTGGTTATCGTGGCTCGTCCACTCTCCTAGCCGACTCTGCAGACTTGGAGAACGCCGATCCCTTAAAGCAAATGTACGTATATCAGTATGAGCAGCAACGCATGGACTCTGGCGTTGAAATGAGTCCCGCAGCTGGCAAAACGCCACCTCAACCGATGCCACGCGGTATTTTGCGCAAGTCTTCATCACATTCAGCAAATCGTACGAAACGTAATTCAATGATTGAGGGACACCAAACTAAGTTGTCGAAGCAAGAAAAACGCCGTAGTCTACAAGAGCCCCCCTACCAACATGCAGTCGGTTCGTCAGAGGAATTAAGTGAAGTATTTGAGGAGGAGGCCGATCTGTATGCCACGCCACAGCCGCGACAGGAACGTCTATCACGTAAAGATTTAGACGCACGCATGCGTTTCCTTTCATCGCTGCCGCGGTCTGAACTTAAATATTTTGCTGAAATAGCAGCAATATTAGAATCGTCTACCGAATTTCAAGTAGCCTACGATCCGGCGGCATTGAAAAAGGAAGTTAGTCGTGCGCTAAGTCAGCAGAAAAAAGTTTCTTTCAATGATATTCACACGCTGACCGAGAACGAAGAAGAAGGTGACATGAGTGCGCAGCAACAGCGGCAGCAACAACCATTGCTGCCACCAGAAGCACGACAACGCTTCACAACGCCACCCAACTCACCGAATATTTCGGTAGCGGGCATGCGTGGTGGTGAGACAGTACCACGACGCTCCTCTCAAATGGAACAGCATCAAACGGCCAAGCGGCTGGCGGCACTTGACGAGCAAGAGAAACGTAAGATTGAAAGTAATCGCTTTAAGCGGCTACAGATACAATGGGAACTGATGAGCAAAGACTCGACGATGTTGAAGGAATTGGCTAGCGCACAAGAGACGAAGAGCGGTGGCTCCACACCGACTGCAACGGCAACATCGGCGACCACAGCAGCGGCGGCAGCGGCAGCAGCTAATGCGGCGCACAAGTCGCGTATACCGCGACCAGTCAGCTATCCAGCGGGAAAGTGAGTATGAGTAGAATGTTGCGTTGTAGAGTGTGGTGTTGATTGATTTGAATGTTAACATTTTTTGCAGTAGTAGAATCGTATAATTTCTTAACATGAAATTGTTTCACGAATTTTTAAAAAAATATTTCTTTCATGCATGTTAATCGTTTGACTTTTTCGTTTTGTGCGTTAACTAATTTCAAATTACACTGTAATGCACTTCCCTTAGTAGTACTTAAATTTAGAATTCACACTCAGCTGTACTAAACTTAAAAATTTCAAATTAAGCTATCTTAATTTTAGTAAATAATAATCCCTAATCCATCCCTAATGTAAATTATTATTTATTTATTTATTCTAAAAGTCTGCGGTTATCTAAATGGAAGTACATACAAGTAGTCCTACAATAACGTTGATTTCTCCTAAAATTTCTATAGAATTCAATTTATTATTAGATTTTGTTTTATTTGTTTATTTTTTATACTAATGTCGAATTTCTACTAGGCATGGAAATGACAAAAATTTTATATTGAAATGGCTTGTAGAAACAAACTTAATGACCACTTTTAGTGTTGAATAACAACATGCCCAACAATGTCGTAAAAATGTAATTTAATGTCCAGTGGAAATACGGTATAACAAAGGGTATTTTTTTTAAATAGTTTATTTGTAAAAGTTATTTTTTTATAGTCGGTATTTGTTCGTACAGATATAAAACAGTAATTTGCTCACCCACATCAACGCATTGAAATAACATTTTTCTAAAATCTTCCCAAATTTAATTTCATTTTTCCCCATTTTCGTATTTTTTTATTTTCATGCACCCTACAAAAATACTCCCACCTCATAATTTTGGCCAACAAATTTACCAATTTATTTTGTATATATTTTTTATATATCGCACCTGTGTAATTGTCTCCACAACAAATATTTACATACATACATATACATATGTGTACGAATATACTTGGTACAATAATTTTGCATGTGTGGCATGTAGAGCAAGAAATGCTAATTGCAACACGAAACCCGTTATGAAACCGCTCGAAAAAGCTAAAACCACTAAACTAAGTATATCTCCAAAAATTACCAGAATAAGCACACAAGAAGCAGATGGAAAGACAACACGTTCACCTAGTCGTATTGTGCCACCGAAGCGATACAGCATGACAGCTGGAACTGTTGGTGCACCAGTGGCGACAACAGCAACACCCGGTGGCGCTACGAGAGCGCGTACGCCCACAAGTCGAGTGGCAGTGACAGCGCCAAATACACCCAAGCGACGAATGCAGTCACCAAGGTAAGAAGATAAGTTAAAAACTAGATTTTGATTTAAAAACTTAACGGTTTTTTTGTTTTTTTTTTTACTTTTCAGAACAATACAGCGCGTGCGATAAAGAACGAGCTGAGTAGCTATGCCGCAACAAAAAACAAATACAACACACGAACATGTGAAAACATTACCACAAAACAAACAAAAAAAAAAAAAAATTAATTTATGTTTCTACTAAATGCATAGTTTTGGAACTGATTTCTTCTAGTATAGGCTGAATGTGAAGAGAAAGAATGCCGGCAAATGCAAAGGAAAGTTGTATTCAAATCATAAAGAAATCATTTGAAATGCGATATATGTACAAGCAAGAAGTGCGAAAAACACCAAGAATACCAAATACTTAAACAGCATATGGTAAAAATTCAGATAAGAATCCCCTCAGCATTGAACCGTGTTGGCTGTTACTTGGGCGTAAACCAAAAAGCGAGCGCTAAGAAAACGAAAACAAGCGGTTTACTGCAATCGTTAAAGAAATCGTGAAATGCTATGCGACTACATTTGTACATATACATACACGTACATGCGTGCGAAGGAATGCACCTAAAGTGATATTTCATGAAAAGAGCAAAGTGAAGACGTATCGATGGATGGATGGCAAGCGTTGCGACGATATGCCTCTAGTATTTCCTTAGTTGCTTATCAACTAGTATAGATTTAAACAGCTAAATCAATGAATATTTAATTTATCGTTTTTTCTTATTTAAGTCTAATACAAAAAAATGTCTTATTTGAATATGTAAAATGTAATTAAATAATCAATCGTACGCATAAAGAAATACTATACATATATATAGAAATACGAAGATATGCAAAAAATAAACTGAAATAAAAAATGAAAAGCAAAAATGTATGCAAATAGACATACATACATATGCATCAACTATTTATATAAACATACACACATTCGTATATACATACATTCATAAATGAGTAAAGGCAGTAGCAAAAGCAGCAACAGCAGCAGAAAGCATGCATGTCAATACATAGATACATACATATGACTTTATAGACGAAAAGTAAAAGGCAAAAATGTGAAGTGGCCAAGTCGCGTCGATTGAAAGCGCATATTTTCTAACAAACAAAAATATAGAAGAGTGGTAAAAAACATTTCAAAAAGCTGAGAGTTTCGCACGCCGGCTAATAAGCAATTCGAATCGAAAACGGAAACGTATTACAAAAATTAGCTCAAATTCAGCAAAGTATTTATTGCTACATATAAGAACCGCAAAATGTGTGCTAAGCAGCACCAGTAACAAAAGGAAAATAAATATGTACATATACAACATATATACACGTCTTCTTGTATATTGCATCAAAGCAATCGAGTGCAATGAAGACGGCGAAAATGCTCCATTTACCCAACTTACCTAACTACCTATCAAATTGAATTAATACATTGAGCGCTGGTAGAAAACGCATCAAAATGACATACATACATATGTATAGTATCCGTATATACATACATACATATTCACACACATCTCTGTGAGCGCATGTAATTAAATAATTACATTCTATTTAATTAAGACGTGTATGTACATGTTGAAGAAGAGAAAACAAGTGAAAACGGAAAATCACGTCGCGTTGCAAAAACTTATTTAGTACTACATGCACAAGTACACTCACAAATGCATTAAAGAAAGAGTTGTGCGCGTAATTAAAAACCAATATCGTTATTGAGACGGTATGTTGCGAAGGAATGCGACGCTGTTTGAAAATGAAATATTTATACTTTTTATGAACTTTTCAATTGCTGCTAATGAAATAATGCCTTGATGAGATGTCGTAGTTTACGCTTTTTTTGTGTTGCAATTTTCATTTAAATACATAAATCGTAAGCGAAATGGAACGTAATGAAATGTAAAAAAAAAACAAAGATGAATGAAAATAAGCTTTGCTGTAACATTAAATTTTTTTAGTACTTGTAAAGTAAGAGACACAAAAACAAAACTCCCTGCCACTTAAGTTCGTGCCCATTCTATGTGATTATTTTTTTTAGTTTGCTAGCAGTTCGTGAGACGATCGAAAATGAAGAAAATTAAAATACCTAAAATACCTATTTGAAATGACATGCATTGTGCGTTATGGCAAGCCAGATGTAAGCACGTGTTGGCTCTTGATCGGTCGGCCACACCGTCGACATCTGTAGCGTCGTCAGCAGTTTCAGCTTGAAAAGTTGTTCTGTTTATAATTATCTACTATTTTTTAATTCTTACATATTTTTCTATCTATTAAATTTATACTACACACTTACTACATGCAAGTATGCATCTAAGTTGCTTTACAAGTTTTTCCTGCTGTTTTAATTTAATTTTTAACGCTAAAAATTTGTTTACTTACTTATTTAATTACGAAAATACTATTGTTTATTAATATGGCGAGAGAAGATACCAATTCTCATTTATTTGTATAATCTCTATTGTATACATACTGTATCCTTCAACATATTACATAGTACATACTATCCTATACAACAACAAAAATAATTTAAAAATATTTGCAGAAGAATTTAACATAATTAAAGAAGAAAAAAAAAAACAAAATGCAAAATAAAATGTATAAAAAAACCAAATAAACATAAACCTTATATTAAATAAATAAAAAGTATTAAGAAAAGTAATGCGACTGAGTGTTTTAATTGTGTATGGTAATTTTTTGAGAAAGGGAATAGCAAGTTTGATTTTAAGTAAAAATTACAGCTCAACCTAATATTACCGGCGGGAGTTTTTCTACGCACGCACGCAAGTTTTTTTTTTACATTTGAAAAACCGAAATCAATTTGTGTGCGTGATTTCTCAGAGTTGCATTTGTGTCAAATTTACTGAAGTTTCTTGAGTAAAATTTGAATTCATGGTCGTGCGAGAATGTCAAATGAGCATAAACGTCAAATCGAAATGTCACACGCAAGACCAATCTTGGAATTTGGGTTAGCTTTTTACGCACGCCGTTCAATTTCGGTTGGTCCTATACAAGTTGTACTTAAAAAAGTACAGAAAAACTGGGTGCTACAAGTAGGTATTGTATGTACATAAATATTTGTTTTTTGCGTAGTTACAACGAATTTTCCTGAGGCTCCGAAATTAATCTAGGCGTTCAAATTCATAAAAATAAAAAATTCCCGCAGGTCATTGTAAAAAGGCGTTCACACTTTTCGAGAAAACAAACAAAACAAAAATTTTTTCCAGCTCCGCCATAACTTTATAGGGTAACGTTTCGATGGCTCTAACGATTTCGTAACAGAGAATTCCGACTACAATAAGAAGAATAAAGCTAAACACAATCAAGAATTGCAAATCCTAGCTTGCATATAGAGACAACTTAAGGTCAACGGAAAATGGATTTTATGAGAAATACACTCGGAGGTTTGCCATTGTAAAAGCTTTCCTAGTTAAAAATATTTTTCTGAAATACATTTGAATTTTCCTGAAATACATTTGCTCTTTTCTGAAATTCATTTGTGTTTTTCTGAAAATCATTTGAGCTTCTCTGAAATAAAATTGTGTTTTTCTGAATTTCTTTTTCTGAAATATATTTGCCCTTTTGTGAAATACATTTGATCTATTCTGAATTGCATTTGAATTATCAGAAATATATTTGAGATTTTCCAAAATTCATTTGGCCTTTTCCGGAAAAAATTTGTGTTTTTCTGAAATACTGTTGGAAAATGCGTACATGTTTATCTATAAACGTATGTGCACGTGTACGTGTTTATTTATATATCCCCTGCAGTACAGGGCTGATGAATCGGTAGCTACCAATTAAACTCCGTCGATTACCGACCGACAACTTGCAGGATTTTTCAGCGATTACTTTTGCAAGGCAATGTCCTAGGCGGTAGTCACCATCGGCTCTCTCTGCACTACCGGGAGTTGCTAAAGTAGTCACATACGTGATTTATGGGCGCCCTCTTTGGAAGTTTTTCGCTATTCCTCTTTCGACTGGTTCGACTCTGAACTACCACAGGTTACTACAGTAGCTACTTACCTAGGAGTCAGTGCAGTAGCGGTGCAAAAGTAGCGGTTGACTCCAGCAGTACTGCAGAGTCTGTACTGTAATGTTTTCGTACGGTACCAGCTGTCATTTGCGAGTAGTAAAACCAAATTTTCCACTCATTAAGTACCGCCGCCGAAGAAGTAGTCGGATTTCAGCAAGGTCGATGAGGAGTGTCAAGAAGCACCAGAGAATAAAGATGCCGCCTATAGGTCCACGCTGCAATCGGGCGCAAAGCGAGCCATGTGTCACCGTTATAGGAAGCTGAAGAGGGAAGAGATACGTGTTTGCCACAATACGAAGAGAGAGGCCGAAATACGTGAGTGCGAATGGCTGGCTTGAAATGCTGGCCGACAGGAAAAACGCTCGAAAATTTTATCAGAGAGTTAGGATGCTTGCGGAAGGTTTCAAAAGCAGGGTGAACACCTGTAAGAACAACCAGGCCACCTTGTGACCTATCTCCAGAATGTACTTAAATTATGGTGGAAACACTTTTCCACTCTATTGAATGGCAGCAGCACTGAAAGTAGTGGAGAAGACAAACCCGAGCCCCAGTCACTGTCCCACCGCCCTGCTAAGGCGAGATACGAATAACAGTTACGCGGTTCTTTATTTTAAACGACGATATAACGGTAAGAATGACTCACACAGGTGACACCTCTAGCCATTGTGGGTCTCACCTTGAAGCTATCGCTGAGTTTTTTCATCGCCCCCTTCCCGAAATCCTGGCTACACCATTGCTAGGGGTCGCCCTAATATACATATGTACATAACGTTACCTTAATTCACAAAGGCCCTAACCAACACCTTTTTTCGAAAATGCGGCTTTCACAGATTTTGGTAGGATATATTAAAATACACCCTCAATAAAAATTTTAAAGTGCTAGTACCAAAAACTACCTAGCTGTTTTGGTATTCCTATTTTATAATGTCTTTTGCTTCTTCTGTCCAATAAAAAATTTGTTGGTTAGAGCCTTTGTGAATTAAGGTAACGATATGTACGTACATATGTACTTTAAAAATACGTTTTCATACGTCTCATAAACTACAAATTCTTCCATAAAATTAATGCCAAAATGAACTGTCTATCACCCTTGCTCCACTTCTTATCGCAGTGGCTCACAATAACTCATCAATGAATGACCTATAATTGTCATTTTTAATCTAATCTGTCGATGTGTAGCCAAGCGGCACCAACAGAATGTACATATATATGTATTTATTTTTTATTGAACTCGCGGTTGCAATATTACACCAACTAAACCGATAGATACGCTGCAGTGTGCGGATGCATCATGAGAACTTACATATATACTCTCACACATATGGATGCATTTAACCCTGTCGGAAAATCAACCACATAATTTAAGAGCATTTATCTCTCCACAAATCGCACGTTAGAAGTGAAATCACTTTGATACTCTGATGAAGCGCACAAAGTCGTAGATACTAGCTGAATCTAGTGCAGCTTAACATTCAAAAGAGTAGTGGAGGAACGAGCGTTGACGAACCCTCGCCAATGCACGACAGTGACTAGGAAGTGCACTACGCTTTCGATTTCTTCCACATCACAGCACCTACTGCATACCCATTCTAATGACGTGGGTTCCCATCTCAGGCAGTACCCGGTGAGAATTCCATTTACATGTCGGAGCAGTGGACGCTCCCAGCCGATCTTCTAGACCAGTAGCTTATCGGTAGAAAGTCGTTTGGCTTCATGTGGGATGGTC